ATATATATATATATATATATATATATATATGGATAAGCATAGAAGTATCTCGCTAAATATTATTTAAAAAGGCAAACGTTAAATGATCTATATGCATGAAGAAAAACAAAAACAGTTTAGAGTAACTGTTAGGCTAAGAAAAGCAAAACATTTAAGAGCAACATTTACCTTCCAGTTAAGTAGATCTGCTAGTTGTAAACAGCCTTCATCTATGGCAGACTTGTAATAGACATCACGAACGTTGTCTGATCTACCCCAGCGGAGACTGCTCTGTTTAAAACCAGCCACGTAAAACCGCATAAGGAATGCCATGAACCCCTATGCATTAATCATTATAAATATGCAAGGCCCTATAAAGATGCTTTAATTGCATAGCCTAGTATAATATATTAAGCAAAGTTAAAATTCATAATTTAATAAAGGTAAGCGATAAACATACGGAGCCAGTTGATCCATCGCCGTAAGACAAATTTATGTACAAGCGCGGAACTGAGGAACCAACACGATGAATTAAGCCACAGAAAGGCATTACGGTCAAGGAAGTTCCCATGATTATAAGAAGATCACATGACGAAAAGTCCTGAATAACTAATGAAAAATATAAATACTGGTCCGGTATGTCGGTGGAATTTTCGTGGTAGACTTTCGCCGAAAAATACAATATCAGGTTTAACTGTGCCGTTACAGCCTTCTTCTATGCAAAGAGGAATGTTTTTTGCAATAATTTTATCCGCCATAAATTTAAAACTATACTCTTTCTTACAAATTATACAGTGACCTGAATTAAAGGATCCATGTGCCTCAACTAATTTGTCTTCTGGAAGACCACATAGTCTATCCAAATTGTCGACGTTCTGTATATTAATTTAAAAAAACCAACAAACCTGGGTATAATGCCTTTTCAATAGGCCTTTCTCGTGTAGGAGCCTAATGAAGTAATGGCCCAATGTAGGCTATTTTAGTAATTAAAATGCAAACTAAACTAAAGCATTCGGTCTGTACAAGCGTCTGGCGACTTCAAAAAATGGTTTGGGATTTTCCTAACATGGTGAAATGTGGCATAAACGTTACTTTAAAATAGCTTAGCGTAAAAACCTCCATAGGATCTGATAGTCCGAATTCCTCAAGATTATCATATATACCAGTGGAAGGACTTCTGAAATCAGGAATTCCTGCGGCTATATAGTAAAAGTATCCAGAAATATAAGCCTTACATGTTGAGATGCCTGCGCCCACCATGGAGATTATATTTTTTACTTTTCCATCACGAATGAGCTTAGCTACGCCTTCTAGATCTAAGGAATTCAGCACCTGTTTTTTCTCTGAAGGAAGGACGCTTTTCAAAGCTTCTAAGTTAAAATCTTAATGTGATAGAAACAAAAATACGAAAAGCATACTCATTACTCGTGAAAGGAAATCAAATGGAGCTGGTAATAAACATCATTTAAAAGTCTTATTTATCAGCCTTACATTAATTCCTATTGCTTAGATCTTGCGATTTTTTATAGTTTATTCCTTCATAAGTTTTTCACAAGTAATTGTAAAACTTGAAAAATTGCCTCTTCTGATAGTGATAGACAAGTATGCGTCCATTATTCTAGTAGTTTTGTTCGACTAATCATAAATCTCATCCAGCATCAAGACAATGGATAGTTTGTATACGCTGCAGATAAAACCAACTTATGCAGGTTAAATGTCATCAGCTACCTAATCTTAGTCATCTATTCCCTTTATTCCAATCCACCTTTAAAATTGTATTATAAATTAGGACATTATAAATTTCTTTATTCTAATTATTATGCCTTCTAGCCTATTAATGTTTACCAAAATTATATGGTGGTCCTTGCACTCGTATAATTTACAAATTTTATTTAAACTTTTTTCATCGTTCTAGGACATTTGATATTGGTGTACTGTTTGTTGCTGCTTAACTAGCTCAAAGATAAGTTAGTTAAATAATTTCCCGTATAAAGTTATTTGACGTTCTTTTTTCCAAAATCTGACATAATCAGAGAACGAAATATCAATTAACCCAGTGTATCCTACGTGTGGCCCTTATTTGAACCTTCAAAGACCTCTGCCAAAATCCCGAACTTAAGTTTCGTTCTTGGAGAATTTAAAATAACATTTTCTTAATAAGTTGTCTTTGTCTTATTGGCAGTGCTCCTAATACAGCAAGTATGCAAAATTACGTACCTAAATACAGTCGCGATTAAGCCTGACCATCGATAAATTCTTCCGATAAAATTCATTTTGTCATGTCTTATCCCCTCCAGGCTTTTTTAATTTTATCAAAACTTCTTAGAGTAATTTCATAAGATTCACGCTTATCCATTAGTATGAGTAAAGATAGGAGCAAGCTAAGCCCACGATGTCCACAAAAATATAAATCAATAAACCTAGCTACTTCTTAATTTGAGATTCACTTAGACGTTTGTACATCTTTATCGGTCTATTATTTCGGGGTGGGTGTCAGGTTTGTAGATAAGGCACAAAATAGATTAATCTAATACCAAACGCTAGGCAGAATATGGGGACAATATTAGTAAGCGAAAGAATACAGAAGCCAGCACCATGAGTATAAGTAATTAGTGTAGGAAGTAAAATGGAAACTACTTGTGATTGTTGGATGGGATTAAAGATAGAGGGAGGGAGATATTTAAGATAGACGTTTAAAGCAAAGTGCAGTCGGAAGTAAAGTTACAAGCCTGTAAAGGCCAGCATTGTACGTTGCTACTAGTTAAATTATTTTAAGAGATTTGAGCTTTGCAATGCTAAACAGTTAAGATACCAGGTAGATAATATTGATAGAAATCGTAATTTTTGCCAGCCGCTTGCCAGGAGAGGCTATGAAGGATGTTGACCTACAGGATTCTGCTTTAACTGAAAATCATGTAGGTGTACCATCTAGGAATAGGAGAGAGAGTAAAGCCATAAGGAAATTGAGTAGTGGCGTACCCTACCTTGGCCATACCACTTTTAGCTACGTTCCCCATATTCTCTTACTCATCTATCTGCATCACAAACAAGCCTACAGACTTCACCA